GGCAGAGGCAGCATGGTGAGGTTTCTCTTTTCCAGAGGCAAGTGGTGGCAAGTGGTGAGGACAGAGTGGGGGCAAGTCTAGATGTGGGGACACCCTAAGGAGGCAGGTGGAGGGGTTGGGAAGGCAGGAACTGCTGGGCCTGGGGCAGCTTTGGTAGATTCAGGGCTGGGAGCTGGGGGTGGAAGTGGATAAGCCTGGGATGGCTGGGGGCCGGGTCTAGCCATGGGGACAAGAGCAGGATGAGGACGAGGACGGAAGGTGCCTTCTGCTCTGCGTGTGTGACTCCCAGGCAATGTGGTGAAGGGCACTCAGAGAGATTCTGGGCCTGAGCCATGGGCTGGGGAGTCCTGTGCCCAAAACCAGGAGCAGGAACAGCAGAGTACGGATGGGCTCGCCCGGGGGACTGAAGGCAGAGGTGGGCGGTGGATGGAGATTGGGGAGACGCTGACGTTCCCCCTTGGAGGTGTCAGAGCTAGGCTAGAGAGAACCCGGAGATGGTCACTGAGCTGGGGTCAGTGTCTTAGGAGTGCTGGCCACCACCATTTAGGGAGATGATGACTGAGAACATCCCAGCCTTTGGAAAGTACGATCACAGCCAGCAGTGATTCAGGGCCCAGTGGGTGGTGGGGGCGGTGAGTGGAGAGGGGAGGAGAGAAAGAGGTGATGGAGGAGGCCGGCAGGGCCAGGGGGAGTACGCTCCTCAGCCACAGAGCTGCAGGGCCTCACCCACAATCTGAGTGCCTGGGGCCATGATCACCCCAACTAGGTCTCAAAATGTGGGACGCAGGAGGGCACAGGTGGGCTCTGTCAGCTTCTCAGGGTGAGGGTTGAACCAGTGGGAGGGTGGAGATCCCTGATCCCTGGAGGAGCACCACGAGGCTGCCGCCCACCCCCTAGATCTGGAGGCTCAGTTCAGACCCCAGGCCAATGACCCCAGGGGACCAGGCCCCGCTGGCTCCAGTGGAAGTCATGGAACAAGCCAGGGCCACTCTGCCCGGGGTACTTGGTTAGTGAGAAGGAGCGAGCCTTGGTGCCTTTGCAGCCCAGGTGTGTGTCTGTGCAGGCTGAGTCCCGTCTCCGTAGACGGGGCCTGGGCTGCCAGCTGTGCCTGTGGACATGGGGGCAGGAGGGTCAGAGGAGGGAGATGGCTCCGTATCCACCCTAATTGCCTCTCCGGAGAGGGAGACAGAGCGGGAGGTTGACTCTGGCTGACCCCCACTGTCCCTTGGGGAGACTACATAATGAGAGCAAGGAAGCAGCCGCCGTCTGTGTGTGCGTGTGTGTGCGTGTGTGTGTCCGTGTGTGTGTTTGTTGGGCTGGGACTGGTGAGAGGTGCTCAGCCTCTCCGAGGACCACATATGCTGGTGGGAGGGTGGCCCGGCTGCAGAATGCAGGCAGGCGGGGATTTGTGCCGGCTTTCCTCTGGGTGCTTGGTGAAATGCAGGTTCCTAGGCCTCAGACACACTGGATCAGAATTTCCTAAGTGGAACCGTTCATCTTAAAGCTCCATAGGTGGTTTTCATGTTCATTTCAGTGAAGGAAAAAACCCACGGGCCTGTGAGATCTTTGGAAACCTCAGGAACCTCCCCGCTCCAGGCATGCACTTATGGTGAAGGCTTCCTAAGATTAAGGATGGGTCCCCTTCTCCCCTGGCCAGGCTAGACAGGCCCTTCTGGAGACAGCCTGCCCTCGCGCGGAGACCCCACGACGCAGGCAGTTTGAATGGAGAGGAATGGGGGCATGTGGGTCAGGGGACAACTGGTCTGAATGACAAGGGAGTGGCTTTGCTGCCTGCCTGTGTTTCTCTGCAGGGCCTCTCCTAGTTCTGGGATTGGGGATATTGAGTGAGAGATGGGAAAAGGCCTGGAATCTAGTCTGGGCTCAGCCACTCATACAGCTGTGAGATTTTGGACTGACTCAGCCATCAGCCACCTCCACTGAACATCAAACCCCTCCAAGGGCACTGCGCTGGAGCCCTGCCCCAGACTGATAAAGTTAGCATCTCCAGGTGTGGGGCTGGACACGGGTCTTTGGTTCTCAACCCCTAAATGGTGATCCTTTTCTCTGATCCCCACCAACTGGACAACAGACAGGAGAGAGGGGCTTGGTTCCTTCCCCTTCCCCTTCAAGGAGGAACTCCCCTGGCCAAAAGCTTCTGCGTTATGCTGATACTATGGTTGCTTTGTCAGCGTTTGAGTGACACATGACATGGGTTTTGATTCGGGGCAGGCTGAGGCTATAGGAATGCCAGTGTTTTAAGAGATGCTAGAAGATTGCCGTAGAGAAGGCACAAAAATCCTCTCAGCCATTGGCCCTGAAATTCTTTGTCTCCAAGTCAGAAGGAAACACAGTGTTGCCCATTAACAGTACATTTTTTAAATATAAAGCGCAGACTTCCTGGGCAGGGGTGGCTTAAAGCGGGTCTGTTTGTAAACTTAAAGGAGAATCCCATGGGCAGATAACTTTTCATTTTAATGCAGATAACTTTTCAGTTTAATGATCGGCTTTATAAACCCAGGTTCTCTCTGGCTGCGGATATCTGTACAGAAGTAGAACATTGCTAGAGGCAGAATGTAATCAGCTGAACCAAAAATCCCATTTAATTTACCCCCCTAAATTGTCACTACGTTGCAGTAAAGTCATTCAACAAGGTGTTGGCTACCTTTAGCTAAGGTGTTTATTTACAGGATCTAAATCAAAACAAAGAAAAAATATGATATAATGGAAGATGTGGACTTTGGAGTCTGAAATATCTGAGTTTAAATCCTGGCTTTATTCCTAACTAGCTGTGTGAGTTTGGGCAAGTCTGTGTCTCTTCTAAGCCTCGGTTTCTCCATTTGTGAAATGGAACACCTACTTGCCTATTTCACAGACGTGTTGAGAAGTTTAAATCTCACAAATGATCATTTATATCAAGAGTCTAGTATGGTACCTGACACATCGTAGGTATTGAATACTTAGCAGTTATAATTAAAATATGGATCTATCCCCAACGTGTGTGTAATAAAGTTTCATATTATGTATTTTGCAACACTACAATGAGGAAAACATCATTTAGCCCATTTTGCAGATGTTGAAACTGAGTTGGGATCGCTGGGACTTGAGCTCAGGTCCTTCAGCTCCAGGTCCCATGCTCTTTTCATTGCATGCTCTTAACTAGAGATGGACAATGCCATTTTAATGAGGTGTCAGGTCAGTAGGTGGCAGGACTGGCTGTCACTGGCATTCGGAGGTGGGGGGCAGCAGGGAGGGAAACAAAGGGGTTGGAACATCGCTCAGAGAATGAATGGGGACTTCAAATCACAGAAGAGGTGCCTGGTGGATGCTTCATGCCAGCCAGTAGTGACAAGTGCTGCACGCCCCTGCATGTCACCATTTCCAGAACAAGCTCACAGTGCAATCTGTTCCACTGGGGGCTTCTAGCTAAGATGCCAGTTCTGATTGACATGTGACTTGTGAGTGTAATTCTTCACCAGCCCTTCATCCAATATGAAGAAACACTACCCCCCAAATATATCACAGTTTACATATATATA